GGGATGCTGGAGGCTTGGGGCTGAGGCTATAGAGTGACCTTGAGGGGTGAGGCCTGGCTGCGCCTGGCACCGTGCCCCAGGTCCGGGTCAGCCTGGGCTCCCAGCTGGGCCTTGACCTAGAGGCCCGCTGTGGCTGTGGGATGTGGCTGTTTCTCTCTGCTGCACTGTCTCCCTCATGAGGGCCAGTCATAATGTGGGGGGAGCACGTGGGGACTGAGCAACACCTCAGTCAGGGCTCCAGGGGTGTGGCCATGTGACCTTCAACTTGCTGGCCTGGGTGGGCCAGGGAGGCAGAGCCGGCCCGACAGCCTCCTTTGCAGAGGGGGCTGCAGGCCACACTGTGAGGTGGGAGGTAAGGATCTAGGCCAGGCTGTCCCTCCCACCGCCCTCTGAGGTCCCTGCACTGGCCCTGCCCCAGGGAGCAATGGGCTGGGATGTGGGCAGGGTCTCCATTTCCCCAACTGCTGCCCCCAGCACAGTGGCAGGGCCTGTACACAGGAGGCCTTGTAAATATTCAAGCACTCAGCTTGGGGCCTCTTCCCAAATGTACCTCTCCTCTCAAGTTTCACCTCCCTGTTTTCAATCCCGAGACTTCCCAAACGTCCTCTTCCTCCCAGGCCTCAGCTCGGACTGTCCCCGCCCCTCGGCTGCCACATCCAATCACCAACCACTGGTCCCAGGTCCTCTCCAACCCACATGGCCTCTGCCCCGTTTGTGTTGGGGGTGGGGGAGCCCTGATCTCCAGGCCCTGCTATTGGCTCCCTCAGGAGGCCAGAGGGGTCTCTTGAAATCCCAACTGGACACCACGCCCCACCCCCTGCCTATGCCCTTTCAGGGCTCCAAGGCCTCCCCACACCCAGCAGACAGCCTTCTAGGCCTCCCTGGCTGCCCGAGGTCTAGCCACATTGTTCATAGCGCCCCCAACACCTCCCTCACCATCACCAGCACTCAGCAAGGGGAGTGGAGCCCCCGTAGAGCTTTTCGAGCCCCACTCCCAGCACTCCCTGCTGCCTCCGCCCAAACTCCCAGCAGCCCAGCCTGGTGCCGGCTGAGCAGGCTAATTAATGGCTCAAACCCGTTATCAGCCAAATGCTAATTACTTTTTAATCTGGGCTGCTTGTGTGGAGGCTCCTGGAGGTGCAGCAGGGGCTGGGGGGTCCGGAGCCATGACCTCATCCCTCCTCAGCAAGCAGGCACATGGGCCCCAGTGAGCGCTCCCTCAACACAGCCCTCACTCTGCTGTTCCCTCTGGTGAGTGCCACCCTTCCTTGCTCTGGCAAACTCCTACTCTCCCTTCAAGACCTTGCCCATGCAGCCCCTTGGCAGGAGGCCTCCCCAGTCTCAGCCTCAGAGGACAGACAAGGCTGAACTAGGAGCTGGGAGGCTGTCAGGGGACTGGCCTTGGTCTCTGGAAGGGAATCTGGAAATGCTAACCCCCACATGGAGGCTGCTCGGCAGAGGAGGCCAGGGCTGGGACCAACCCCAGAGTGAGCTCGGACCGACAGTCTCCTGTGTTCCCTAGACAGGGGTCTGGCCCTGGCATGCTTCCTGTAGAATGGAGTGATCAGCCTCCCTCGAATCCTACCCAGTCCTGGAGAAGAGGCCCCATCAACCTGCATGCCCTTTGCCCATGGGGCAAACTGGCACTGGATACACACATGCCACCACCCTGTGCATACTGGACTCGATCCTCCTTCACCCCACTCCCACACCCAAAGAGACACACACTGACAAACACCAACACCCAAAACACACACGGAGCACATGCAGACATGTCCGAGACATTGTGGATCCATATGCACAGACGCACACCCGGACGTCAGCACAGGCTCAGAGATGCCTGGTGCACCGATGCCCGTGTGCGCACATGCACATGCATGGCCAGGGCAGGAGGCCTGGGAACGCAGAAGCTGCCCCTTCTCCTGCCCCAGGCCCCCAGGGCTTCCCGTTTACGAGACATTATCTATCAAAAATATATTAACCCAGAAGCCTGTTTCCATCAGAGTCTCGATTCCAGGGACATTTCCAGATAAGCCTTATCTCCTCACTTGTGCATTAGCCCTGCTGGTCGGGGGCCTGCCAATCACTGCTGCCCCTCCTGCCCCAGCCCATGGCAGGATGCCGGTCCATGACCTCACTCCATGTGGGCAGGCAGGTGAGGAGACCTGGGGCACTGCTGTCCCATGCCCCACCCCACCCATCAGCCCACAGAGGGCACCTCTTTTCCAAGGACACGCCTGAAGCACTGGGGCAGCTGCAGGCAGCCAAGCCCTGCCCTGCCTGCACCCCTGTGAAACCGGCATGCTGCTGCCACACCACCGCTGTGGGTAGATGAGTAGATTCACTGAGTTTACCTGTGTCAGTGGCTGCAGTGAGTTTGGCCTACTGGAACCCTCTCCTTCATAAAACACGGGGACCTGGGGTTGCCCAAGGCACCCTGCGGGGCAGGGGAGCCAGGGAAGGGGACGTGCATGCCCACACTTTGGCCTCAGCCAGAACCGGGTGCTGGCTCTGGCTCCTGCCCACCGTCCCAGCTAGGCTGCACCTTCAAAGGCTGCGCGCCCTGGCCCGACCCCACTAATGGACGCTCGGGTTTCCACCGATGCCGGGCCTGATAGAGGCCTCTCCTGGGGCAGTCGGCTGGGCGTTTTCAGGCCACACAGAGCAGATCCGCCTCATTACACACTCAGGGGGCTCAGAGGCTCCTGGGAGTCGCCCTGGGCTGCCCCTCCTCCCTTCTGTGCCCCAATTCCTCCACCTGAGCCCCCTCCTTCCTGGGGCTTTGAGGAGCATGGTCTTCAGACCAGTGGGGAGGGGACAGGTGGGGTGGAGGTGGACACCCGCAAAGAGTTCCTGGAAAAACGGCTGATTTGGGGATGGTATCACTTCCTGAGGGGTTCTGGGCCTTTTGCCTCTCAGTGGGAGATGTGTGGGGCCCACCCTAGGGCCGCAGGTAATGCGGGGTCAGCAATGTGCCTGACAAGTCTCCTAGCCCTCTGGCATGGCTGCTTTTCTTCTTCCATTTTATACATGGGGACACTGAGGCATGAGGTTAGGGAACTTGTCCAAGCTCACACCGCAGGCAGGGAGAGGCCCGAATCTGTGCCCTGGCGGCAGCAGCCATGTTCGCCCTGTGTGCCCAGCTTTCCTCCACATCTGATCTGGCCCCAGAGCCAGCTCCCATGGACTAAGTGCCCCCCATGCCTGGCACAGTGGGGGCTCCACTGGGTCACATGACCCCTCATTAGAGAGAGGCAGTGACACACCCAAGGTCACTCTGCCCATGCAGGCCAGGACCTGGGGCCGAGCTCAGAGCTTTCTGTCCCAATGTGCAGGGACCCTGAGGGAGCTGGGGAGGGAGGGGTCAGGGAGGGTGTGGCCTGGCCCCCAGTTCAGCCCCACACTGAGGAGGAGGGAGGTTTCCTCGCCTCAGAGGTGAGTCCTCAGAGCTGGGTTCGGACCCAGTGCTGGCCCTCACCAGCAGCTCCCAGATCTGCTGGGAGGTGACCAGCCTGGACAACATTGGCAGGTGCTCAGAGGGGCCTCTCCTGCCCCCGGGGACTGACAGGCTGGTGGCTGCGAGCCCAGCTCGGTGCTGACTGAAGCCCTCCCAGAGATCTGCTCCATTTTTGGGCTGCTCTCCTGAGGGACCAGCCGGCTAGCAGGGAGCCTGGTGTGGGCTCAAGGCCGCTGCCAGTTTCCTGGGCAGAGTGGCTTCAGCGAAGTGGTACTGCCTTTCTGGTGAAACAGTCTGCAGGGCCGGGTAGGGTGAGGAGGCCGTGGGGCACAGCACACAGTGGGGTGAGGCCCCAGGGAGAGGGGCCACTGCAGTCCCAGGAGGTGTCTGCTCAGGCAGCAGCAGTTGAGGGGGAGCCGGCTCCTAGGCAGAGGGCTGTCCTGATTCACGATGCAGACAAGCCGCCCTGGCACCCGCAGCCTGCAGCAGTGGAGGCCACGCTCACTGGGGCCACACTCTGTCTCACTTTCCTACAGGGCCAGTCCCCTCAGGGGACTGAACTGGGAACCCCACTTCCCCATGGCTCTCAGCTGTTGCCCTTGACTGCTGCTCTAGCCCTGCTGCCTGGGTCTGGGCCAAGGTTGACCAAGGGTGGCTGGGCCATTCGCCATCGCTGGCATCCTTGCAGCACGGGGGCTTTGCTCTGCTGCTGGTGTATTTAATTAACTGCTTTCTCCCCAGCCACCACATGCACACGGGACACACACACACACACAGACACACACACACACACACACACACACACACAGACACACATACACACACACACACGGCTCTGGGGCTTAACAGCCCCAAGTCATTTGATCGAAACCTGCCCCTGTTAATATTTTTAATGCCATTTGCAAATTAAAGCATAATGCACCGATTACTGGGATAAAAGGAAGGCCTCTGCGTCTGTCTGGAGACCAAATAAAGGAACGTTTGAACATCTGTTCATGCTACAAATGTCTCTAAAAGCTTTGATTTCCCCTCAGTTGACTCCACCATCTCACCCTTTCCTGAGTATCCCACAGCCCGGGGCTACAGGGAAGGGTGGTCTGTGGGTGCAGGGGACGGCAGATGGCGCTGCACAGGGCACCCTCACCATGCTACCCTCCACTTTCTGGGAAGTGTGTGGTTCTCAAACTTGAGGGCAGGGGCTTAGGGACTCCTGGTGTTGGGGTGGAAGAGCAAGCCTCCACCTGCTCTGCCCGATGCCCTGGCCAGGCACCCTGCTATTCTCCAACTCCCCTGTGGGTGCCCTCCCTGGACCCAGCTGCCCAGAGAATCCCCATTCTCCCTCAAGGCCCAGAGTGTCCCAGGAGCTACCCAGTGGGGTTGAGAAGCGCAGACACTGCAGACTCCCATAGCCTACGGACTCTGAGTTTGGATCCCTCCCCTGGCCCCTACCTGGGCAGGAACTCTTGGGATTCCTCTGAGATTCCCCTTGGAACACAGTTGGGGAGGGCGGGGGCCCTAGTGAAGTCAAAGAGAGAGACACCAGTAGAGTGGGCTGGGGCCATGGGACATTTATTTGTAGCCGTCAAGTGTCTGCCCACCTGGGGGAGGGGTGAGACAGGCCTGCAGGTGGCCAACAAATGGGGCAGTGGAAGACACTGGCTACCAGCCCTCTGCCCAAGGCCCTTTCCTAGTTGGGCTGGTGGCTGTCCTGGGTGGGAGTGTGCAGGGGCTGGAGGACAGACCCTCCTGGCCCCAGCAACACATCCCCCTCAGCTCCTCACCAGGGCTGAGCACCAATCCTGGGGGTGGGGGCTGCTGCTGCAGGACTGCAGGGAGAGACTGGGAGAGGTTGAAGCATGACTGGTTGGGATTTGGCACAGCACCCTGGACTGGGCCGGGCAAGGAGGCCCTGGGGGAGGTCACTGGACACTCAGGGAGACTGGACCATGCGCTTGTGGGTGTCGAAGACGTAACGCTTGAAAGTCAGGCTGAGTGCTACATGCTGTAAGGGCTCGCTCCGCTCAGCGCTCTCCTCCTGCCTGGTAGCCTCCCCGCGGCCGGCCCGGGCCCGCTTCTTGAGGGCGGGTGTCAGGATCTTCTTGGACTCAGGGCTGAGGCCACCTGCAAGGCACAGAAGACAGCCTGACACTCTGTCATACCCCAAGCACCTGTGGGCTCTTTGCCTGCCCACCTGCCGCCTAGACTCACCCCTCTTTTGCCTCCCTCCGCAGCCAAGCAGCCCTGAGGCCTGTGGTCCATTCTGACATTTTGGTCCCTCTGGCGCCCATCAGATAGGTGTACAGCAGGGCACTGTGCCTCTTGGGGCCTCGGCTCACTGCCCCTGTGCTCAGGCCCTGGAGGGACTGCTGCCCTGTGCCGAGTGGTCCATTGCTTTCCAGTGTACTCATGCCAAGTCCACATCTGGAAACTAGGCATCTGAGGCTCCCTGGGTGGGGTGCTCCCTGATTGTCCCTGGAGACACATTATTCTCCACCCTCTTGTGTGCCTGAGAGGCTGACCCCTGCAGACAGCATGACCAGGTTTAGCAGTGGGAGCCCCAGCAGGCCAGAGTGTGGGAAGAGAGGGTAGTCAGGGTGTGTATCTCTGGCTGCCTTCACTCCCACCTGCCCTCAGTGGGATATGCAGGCTGCATACCCAGCTGCCCCAGTAGCAGTCACAGGAGCCACCACCCACTGGGGCTCCCTGCCCCATGCCATTCTTACAGTGTCCCCTCGGCTCAGTTTGCCACAGCCCTGAGAACTTGCTCCCGTCAGGACACCCCAGTGAGGCCATGGGGCTCACAGAGTCAGTGGCTCATCCCAGGATCCTCTGCCAGGGGTAGATGCTGCCCCACCCCCAGGCTTGGGTTGGTGCAGCCCCCACCGCTTTCCAGCCACCTCTATGAGCTGCTTTAACCAGCTCATGCCTCCCTAAAGACCTCCCTCCAGCTGAACGTCTGAGTGGAAATCTGTCTCCTGCTGATGCCCCGACTCGCGCTCACTCCAACTCCTCCATCTTCGCCATGCTCTGCAGCCCTGCTGATCACGGTCCATTCCTGGGCTCCTCATCGCACATGCAAGCCTCTCACATGCTGTTCCCTCTGCCTGGAACACCCTTCCCATCCTAGGCAATGGAAGTCCCACTCATCCTTAAACATGCTGCTGCAACTGCCCTTTCTCTGGGGCTTGTCTTTTTATTTTTAAATTGACAAATGACAAACTGTGTATATTTAGTGTTTTATATATATATATATAAAATATATATATAGTGTGTGTGTGTGTGACAGGGTCTCACTCTGTTGCCTAGGCTGGAGTGCAGTGGTGTGATCCTGGCTCGCTGCAACCTCTGCCTCCCACCTCAGCCTCCTGAGTAGCTGGGACCACAGGCTCGTGCCACCACGCCTAGCTGAGTTTTTGCATTTTTTTGTGGAGATGGGGTTTTGCCATGTTGCCCAGTCTAACATGATGTTTTAATATATGCATACATTTTAGAATGATTAAATCAAACTAATTAACATATCCATCACCTCACATACTTATTTTGGTGATGAGAACATTTAAAATCTATTCTCTTAGAAATTTCACTGAATATTATACATTGTTATTAATTACAGTCACCATTCTGCACAGCGGATCTCCTGAATCGACTTCTCTGGTCTAACTGAAACTGTGAACCCTTTGACCAAGATCTCTCCATTCCCGCCCCAGCCTCCACCCCCAGACCCCTGCAACCACCCTTCTACCCTCTGCTTCTATGAGTTTGGGTTTCGAGATACCATGTATAAGTGAGATCATCAGCATCTGTCTTTCTGTGCTGTGGGGCTTGTATTCATGAGGAATCTCCTGGTGGCAGCATGCTGCAGCCTTCACGCGGGCCACTGGCCACGGTGAGGCCACTCAGCATGCTCCTCGGCATCTGCAGGAGTGGGTGGCCCAGGGCTTGGAGCAGTTCCGCCCCTAGCAGAGCACCCCAGTGTGAGCACTCGCTCTGTGAGCCTCATGGCCCCACTGGGGGGTTCGGGTGGGAGCAAGCTCATGGGGCACTGTGAGAATGGCATGGGACAGGGAGCCCCAGTGGGTGGCGGCTCCTGAGACTGCTACTAGGGGCAGCTGGGTATGAAGGCACTGAGGGCAGGTGGGGGTGAAGGCAGCCCATACCCTGCCTGCCAAGGAGGTGTCCCACCAGGATCCCCTCCCCATGTGCACAAAGGGCCTGTACAGGCTGGGGGCCTAGAGGTCCAGAGCTGGGGGGAAGCTGGGCAGAGGGCTCAGCTTCCTACATGCCGTGGGCACTTGTGCCACTGTACCTACTGGCAACTGAAGAATTTTTCCTCTCTTTCCCAGTCCTGCCCAGTACTAGCTTCCTTCCTGAGAAGACAAGGCAGCCACGAGGCTCACGCATCAAGCTTCAGTCCAGAAGGCCCTGGCCTGTCATCTCAGACTGGGAGAGCTGGCTAGTGGGGCTGTGCGGGTTATTTCTGGCTCAGTTTCCTGAAGATGTTGGCCACCCACTTTTTTATATGGATAAGAAAATGAAGGTCTAAGACGGCAGTGACTTATTGGAAGCCCCACAGTGAGCTCAGAAGAGCCAGGATTTGAGCTCCAGCCCTTACCCAATGGCAAAGCCAGCTTCTGCTCTCCACTCAGAGCGATGGGTGGGGGATCCAGCTTTCAGTGGGCTTCTGACAATGGTTCTCAAGGCTGTGAGAGTGTCATGTACTGGCCCTACAGCTCTAGATGTTTAAAAAGGTGACAAGGGCTCACACCTGTAATCCCAGCACTTTGGGAGGCCGAGGCGGGCAGATCATGAGGTCAGGAGATCGAGACCATCCTGACTAACATGGTGAAACCCTGTCTCCATTAAAAATATAAAAAATTAGCCGGGCGTGGTGGCAGGTGCCTGTAGTCTCAGTTACTCAGGAGGCTGAGGTAGTAAAATGGCATGAACCAGGGAGGTGGAGCTTGCAGTGAGCCGAGATCGCGCCACTGCACTCCAGCCTGGTCAACAGAGTGGGACTCAGTCTAAAAAAAAAAAAGTGACAAGGGTGCTGGATAAAAAGGCCATCTGTACAGTCAGTCAGGGACAGCCTGCCCCACTGCACAAAGGGTCAGGTCTCCCTCTGGCAGGCGGAAGTGAGATTACTGGCCATCTAAAGCCTGAGTCCTCTGGGAAGACTGGGGACATGCAGCTGATATGAACGGGGCTCCAGGAGCCAGGCTGGCCATTGCACGCCTGCCTGAGGGACATGTGATACTGTGGCCGTGGGGACCTGTATTAAGGAAGTGCCCCCTGTGAGCAGCACACCTTACATGGAGCCTGAGTGGTGTCTGCTCTGCAGGTTCCGTATGTAGGTGGTCTGCCCCAGCTTGGGATGGGGCACAGGGTGTGGGCATGGGGAGGACCCTGGCCAGCCCCCTCAAGTGAGCACCAGGCCTGTAGGTATCTGAATCCCTGAATCAGAGCCTGGCCTTCCTTCTGCAAACAGAGCAGGTAGCTGGCAGCAGACCCCGACAAATGGCATCGGCAGCCCGTCTCCCTCTGGTGCCAGGAGGTCTGGAGGCTGAGGAGGCGTGGGGCTCCCCGGCGTCGGTGCTGGGCTGGGGAGACAGGCGTGGCCCAATCGGCAGTCCATCTCGCCCGTGATGGCTCTCGTTACACACAATGCCGACCTTGCACTGCCTGGCGCAGGCAGAGCCGGAAAGTCTATCTGGCACTGGTGAAGATGTGGCCATTTATTTGCTCTTCTGAGATGGTCAGGCTCGTTTACCTCTGCTCTATTATGGACTGGCCGGGAAGCCACACCTGGAAAGCCTGACCAAAGGGAGACCCAGACATGGAGCTGCATGGATTTGTGGCAAATGTCACCAGGAGCTGCTTTGTTTTCCCAGTGGCCTTTTTAACATTTTATTTATTTTTTTTATTCTTAGCCATGTGGCAAACAGAGGGAGGTGAAGAGCACCCCAGGGTGTCACATGGTGAGAGCTGCTGCCCACCCAGCCAGACTCTGGGGGTCCCGCCCTGTGCTTCTCCCAACCTGCCTCTGTGTCTTTTCACTTAAAAATATTCAGGGAACATGCCAGGACAGGGAGACAAATGGCGGTGAACACGCAGACCAGGGCCCGGCTCCCATGCAGTTCACTCATCTAAGAAGGCACAGCCAATGAACAAGGCAGTTAGATCTCCAGACAGCAGAAGGGTGGCCAAGGAAACAGCACCATGGTCACTGTGTGGGGACAGGGCTGCTTCAGCGTGTTCCAAGGGAAGAGGAGGAGGAGGAGGAGGAATGCTGGACCCAAGGCCAGATGACAGGAACCAGTCATAGATATTGCTGGCACGGATCCACAGGCAAAGGGAATTTGAGTGACAATTCCTGGGGGTGGGTATGCGAGAGGCACTGAGGGCAGATGAAGGCATGTGCCATGCGTGGTGCAGTATGAGGGCCTGGCTCCAGGGTGACCACAGCTCACCATGTCCACACGGTGCCCTGTGTGCCAGGCCCCCCGCCCTGTGCACTGACTTGGGGTCAGAGTGTGTGGGAACGTGGTGACAAGACCATGTGCTGAGTGCTGACTGCCCAACTGCCTGGTGTCTACCTCCTGCAGGCCCTGGTGTCTCCAAGGCAGGCAGGACAGGGCCTGCTTTGCCACCAGCTCTGCTAGGACCTACGCTGTCAGGGAGGTGCAGCCCTGCCCCCATCTTCCTTCCTGCACTGGGGGCTGCTCTGGACCTCTGGTCTCTGCTTGCCCCTGGCTCACGGCCCTGCCCCTGTGTCAGCCTCCTCGCTGCCCTCCTGCACACCTGGCCCGTCTCTGCCTCAGGGCCACTGTCATTGCCAATCCCTCCGCCTGGAGACTCACCTGGGAGGCACACCTGGCCCATCTCTGCCTCAGGGCCCCTGTCTTTGCCAATCCCTCCGCCTGGAGACTTGGGAGCTCCGGCAGCTGCAAGTTTACTTTCTTCGAGTCACTGTACAACTGTCACCTCTTGGTGAGGCCTTTGTGACCACCTTGTTTAAAACCACAACCCCCTCATGCTGCCCTGACCCCCTTTTACCCCACTATTTTTCCTATAGCTTTTATCACCTTCTAACATCCTCTATAATGTCCTTGTTTTGGTGTTTG